CTCTACTATCCCCACCCTGGACACCAAAAACATCCTCCAAGCGAGCAAGCAGAGCAAGAGGCGCAAACAAAAGCATGGGACGTGCACCCCCAGCTCCCGCGCGGGCCCAGCGCATCGGGAACGCACCAAATCCCCTTCATTAACCACGCAGGCGCTCCTGCGGTAACAGTTTTCAGGGCCCAGGCAAAAGGATCAGAGCACTACATAGCAGAGAGAGCTCCCCCATGCCCCGAGCAGCCGAGCCCCGCAAAATGCACCGCACTGCAATTTTAGCCCCGCTGGAGGGGATAAGAGTTTCGAACAGGCAACTCATCACCAGCACCCTGAATGAGCTACCCACTGCAATACCAATGGTGCACAATGATCTACGACATCTGCTACCAACGTTGTGTTACAGCCGCGCCTTGGTGTTCTTTTGTGTGTCCTTTTGGGCGAAGCCAAGCCTTTTTTCCAGGCAGTCTCGCACAGCTACACGGTGACCCCCATATGAAAATGCCGATAAGCAACGCGCCGATTTGGCGGATCTAAGATTTTGGTACGCCGCGACAACCTAGACGGGAAGGATAACGGGAGTTGAGGTCGCACGGCTTGTGAGAAAAAGTATTTCTCCAAAACGGCAGATCTCCCAGGCCACTAGTTTGTCTTTTCGAGTTGTGTTGCTAGTGCAGTCTGCAACGATTGAAACAGCAGCGAATGCCGCGCTCAGTTTAGAGGTTCCACCCTCCCAGCCCCTGAGCACAAGCTCAAACTCCACAACAAAAAGAACTCGACCATCTTCGAATGGAGGCCTTCGCAGATTGAATTGACCCACACCCGATAACAGATAACCTTCCGCTCTGGAGGCGGACGCGCTACCAATTGAAAGTCCCAGAGGTACAGTAAAGCCTTTCCAAACTTATAATACTGAAAGACACACTGTCGCATGGTTTCATATATTTTTTTGTCCTCTTTGAGGGTGGCATTGAACTTTTCAACTTTATCTCCATGAGAGTCTGTCATGTATCATAATTGAAGCCACCCTGCGGGCTGATACATGAAATGGTGTTCACAAGACGGGGAAAAGGGAATGGAAAAGCAGCGTGAGTTCGCAAAGAAACCACACAAGGCCAAGAACAATGTTTGTGTGGTTGGTAAAGAAGTGGGCAAAGACGGCTGATATCCTGTCAGAATGCACTACTCTTTCCTCGCTACCAGTTCCTCAAATCTGGCCAGGATGATAAGCGAGAATCCTGTGTGATTGACCAAGGCAGCCCAGCGCTATGGCACTCAGCTGATAACATGGTAGATTAGAGCTAGGGGACCGGGTGCTAGGAGAGCTGGACATGCAGACGGGAGGATGGGGCGAATATAGACCGATGTCGCTCCAGCTTCTTCTGCGTAATCTTGCCCGTCTTGACCAAACTCCCAGCCCTTGGTGGCATTTTACATAAAAGAAACACCGATGTAAGCGCCACCATCCTTTGTTGAGTCCTGGTGGTCGGTAACATGGCGGACCGGTTCGATGGTGAACAAGCCAGACACTTGAAAGTTCCGAAAAGTGAGTTTGTTCTGTGATACGGACAATTCACCTCACCCAGAGCTCCTGTCGTTGCCTTATGCACCCCAGGCTACCAACGGCATATCTCTCGCAGCATTGCAGTTTCCAGATCCTTTGACCCAGATCCCCGGGGAGATGGAGATGCTCAATTTCCTACTTTTCTCATGACTGTGTGAGAAGTTCTGACCTTGGGCCATATCTCCCGGTCACAAAGAGTACCTTACCTATTGCGGGCTTGCAATGCATATGGGACCTAGGGACGAAGGGTGATGAGTGTTGGTAACTTGCAGAGTTCTCGGTATTATCGATGGCGTGCTGTTCTTTGGAGGCGGAACCACAAAGGGAAGCGTGGGGGGCTTGGCCCCCATGTTCGGGAGTGCGTCCCGTCCGGCTTGGTTGGTCTAGAACGCCATGACATAATCCACGACTTCGAGGTGAGACATAACGTAACCACATGCAGAGCTTCCAGAAGCGGTAAATCTACTCCAGGAAGGTCTTGCGTTGTGTTTGTACGATTCATGTGTTTCTGCGATGGGCCTTGAATCGCAGCTTCAGCGCAGCGCGGGGGCACCCAATCGGGGAGTTGATCCAGCAGCGAGGATATGGCATTAACGGGGCGGCTACAGACGACATAATAGCATCCTGGTAGCACGCCATCGTTGGAGTCGCCTAGCTCCTACAAAAAGTGATAAGGACCAAGCTGACTGAGTCCTGTCTCGCAAAGCGCTTCCGTCTAAGATGGTGCCGGTGGCCATCCAAGGGCTTGGTAAAGCTGCACGCAAAGGCTACTATTTAAGCCACTGGGTTCAAAATAGGGACAAAACGCAAGAGGCGCATCTAGAATCGGCGATGCCCAGTCGGAGAGGGGGCCGTTTCGGGTGCCTGAGACCCCCGCATACTGGAACTTTGCTCTCGAACGTGTCGGGACGGGCTGAGGCGAGGGTAGGCGGCCTTGGTCGACTCTACTGACGTGCTGTGACGCTGCCGCCAGGTGCAAGAGAAGCCAGTTAGGCGACGGGATATGTGAAGATATGCGGGCAATATGCGGGCAGGAGGCGAGATGGCTGGGGTACAGCGCTGCACCCCGTGCCCGATCACGCCAGTGCAATGAACGTGCTGGATGGCGCCATTGATAAGGGTCCGGGCCACTGGGTGAGATGATGCTGGGCGCGATGTGAGAGGTTGAACTCAGCCGAGATCGTCATGTCGCAACCGCTCCTCCAAGTTGCAACATCGACTGTCGCCCCCGCCCCCGCGCTGGTCGTGCGGCCTGACCTCTCTAGGCCCGACTGGGGTCGCTTTGGGTGCGACTCGAACCGGTTCGCGGGTCGCACAGCGTGACGACACTCGGCGGGGGAAATGTGAATATAATAAGGACGACGATCCGGCCATGTGCTTCCTCCCGCGGAGATGCAGGACCCGTGTCTCGGAGGGCACTCAACCAGTCTATCGTCATTTCGCACCCTAATCCCATTCGCTACCACTCTGTCGGGACCATGTCGGCTCCCATCCTCGACACCAAGGAGCTGGGCCATGACTCCAAGGAGATCGGAACATCTCCGGGCGCGTCCAGCCCCGGCGCCGTCTCCCGCGAGAGCCTTGTCGACCCCGAGGGCTATGGCTCGACCGAGGAGCATCTCTTCAAGGACCCCACCATAGCCGACTACTGGCGTGGCGTCTACGACAAGGCCAGCTACGAAAACCGCCACCGTTTTGACCCAGAGTTCCAATGGACGGCCGAGGAGGAGAAGAAGCTGGTGCGCAAGATCGATCTGCGCATCATGCTCTGGGCCTGGATTATGTTCTGCGCGCTGGACATGCACCGCCGCAACATCAACCGCGCCATCTCGGATAACATGTTGCCAGAGATTGGTGAGTTTCACTGAAGTTTCCGAGTCTTGGGCTCCCAGAACTGCCACTAACCCCCTCTTCTTCAAGGCATGGACACCAACGACTTCAACTACGGCCAGACCATTTTCCTGGCCTGCTTCCTTTCGGCCGAGTTGCCTAGCGGCCTGGTTAGCAAGAAGTTGGGCGCCGATCGATGGATTCCCACCATCATGGTCGGATGGTCCCTCGTAGCCGGCTCTCAGGCCTTTATCTCCAACCGGGCATCCTTCTACGCCATCAAGGCCCTCCTCGGACTGCTCATGGGCGGTTTCATCCCTGACATCGTGCTCTGGTTGACTTACTTCTATAAGTCGGGCGAGTTGCCCACGCGCCTCGCCTGGTTCTGGACGGCACTCAGCACCGTCAACATCGTCGGCTCGCTGCTCGCCGCCGGCATCCTCGAGATGAGAGGTGTGCGGGGCTGGGCCGGATGGCGGTGGTTGTTCCTAATTGAAGGAATTATCACCCTCCTCGTCGGTGTCTTTTCGTGGGGCCTCATGCCTCCCGGGCCGTGCCAGACCCGCAACTGGTTCCGTGGCAAGAACGGCTGGTTCACTGACCGAGAGGAGAGCATCATGGTCAACCGCTTGCTGCGAGACGACCCCAGCAAGGGCGACATGAACAACCGCCAAGCCGTCGGCCCCAAGAGGTTGTGGAAGGCCCTCAGGGACTGGGAGATGTGGCCGCTTTATATCATTGGCCTCACCGCCTACATCCCCCCCTCGCCCCCTGGCACATATTTGTCATTCATCCTCCGCCAAATCGGCTTTTCCGTCTTCCAAGCCAATCTTCTCGCCATCCCCTCGCAATTCCTTTTCGCCGTCAACCTCCTGATTATTACCTGGGTCTCCAAGAAGTTTGGCGAGCGGTCCATCGTGTCGTCCGTGTCCAACATCTGGATCTTCCCCTGGCTTGTCGCTCTTGTGGCCCTTCCAGGTACTGTGTCCAACTGGACTCGCTACGCCCTGCTCACCGGTTTGCTATCGTACCCCTACTGCCACGCCATCCTGGTTGCGTGGAACGCCAAGAACAGCAACGCCGTGCGCACCCGCGCCGTTTCCGCTGCCTTGTACAACATGTTTGTGCAGAGTGGTAATATCATCGGCAGCAACATCTACCGCGACGACGATAAGCCGCTGTACAAGCGCGGAAACAAGATTCTGCTGGGCATCACCTGCTTCAACATCGTCCTGTTTTACCTAGTCAAGGTTTTCTACATCTGGCGGAACAGGTCGCGTGAGGCCAAGTGGAACCGGTTGACGGAGCAGGAGAAGATAGATTACACACTCAACAGCACCGATGAAGGGCTGAAGAGATTGGATTTCCGTTTTGCTCACTGAGCATTCCTAATATCTTGCCGCAGGTTATCGGGGTTAAGGGGAGAAAAGGGGAGCCTGGTTTTGCACGGCCGAAGGCTTGATATAAGGGGCGCTTAGATACCAATTCATTGTCTTGTTGCGATTCTTCATCTTATTGTTGTGATTTTAGGTCTTCTTCATTCTTTGTTCTAATAACCAAGCTGCTGTAGATATAATTCCAAATTGAAGAACATAGGCAGGTAAATCTTCTCACAGTCACTTTGGCGGAGTGGTTGACGCGTTGCCCTGCTGTGGAAGGCATAGTCAGTAGGCAATTCCCTCGGGAGCACAGGTTCGAATCCTGTAGGTGTTTCTTTTTGGCCAACTCGTGATTTTTTGCCCGGCTATTACTTCGAGTCTTTTCTGTCTATATCTATAAAGTGACTGCACTCTATTGACGCGATGTCCCGCATTATTTTTAAGAACGAAAACCTACCTTAGCTAAAGGTATATATTACTAGGTACTAAATATTTAAAATGCCTTAACTTCTATGCTCCATTTGTCGTGTTTGGTAATGTGAATCTCGTCAACAATGACTCTTAGACATACCAACTGCACCGAAGGCCCCTTTCATCCTCTCTATCCAACTTTACCGATATCCAAAATCCACCTCACGCCTCCGCACCACCCAGTGGCGCCAACTTCTTCTTCCGTAAATCATTCCACCCCATGCCCCACCCTGCGACGAAACCACACACACTCGCCGCAACCAACAAATAAAATACGTGATCCACGCTGTCCGAATACGCCCTCAAAACACCGGGCAAATCTGCCTCAGAAACTACCTCGCGGATTCCGCTCGCGCCGGCTGCTAGGACCTGCTCGATGTCGATGGTCGGCACGTACTGCTCAATGTGCGACCGCAGGCTGTTGGTGAAGATGGTTTGGGCAACCGTTAGGAAGATGGCGCCGCCAAAGGTGTTGGTGAAGATAACGAGGGCCATGCCGACCGAGATTTGGGCTTGTGGGAGGACGGCTTGGACGGCGAGGAGGGGCATCTGCATGGCGGCGCCGCGCGCGCCGAGGATCAGTTGGTAGCCGACCCATTCGCCGGTGGAGGTGTCGACGGAGAGGGTGGACAGGAGGCCGCAGGCGATGGCGGCGAGGGCGGATGAGCCGAGAACCCAAGGGATGTAGTAGCCGAGTTTTGTGACTGGATTGCTTGTTAATCACGGTGTGGGTAAGATCGGCATCATTGATGACCCAGAACTTACCAAGTAAACCGCTCACGACAGAAAATACCAACGAGCTCAGGATATTCGGCAGGACATAAACCCCGCTGGTAAAAGGCGACACCCCTTTAACAGATTGGAAGTAAATCGGCAGATAAAACGCATTCACAAGCACCACAGCGCCCATTATCATCATGGTCGTAACCAAACTCGTCCATACCTCCCTCCGTTTGATCATACCCAGCGGAAACATAGCGTCGTCGCCCTGGCGGCCTTCCCAGAAAAAGAAGACGATAAAGGTTACTACCGAGCCGACCAGAAGGCCAATAACGGTGGCCGAGTTCCAGGGATGCGATCTTCCGCCGTATTCGAGTCCGAGTAGCAGCATTATCGCGGCGGGGGCAAACAGGGCGAATCCCGAGAGGTCGAGCTTGGAGAGGACGGTGCGGAGGACCGAGTGTTCAACCTTGCCGGGCCGCTCGGGGATGTCGATCATGACGAGGAGCACGGCGACAACGGCGGCGGCGGGGAGGTTGATATAGAAGCCTGGTTTCGGTCAGTAATGCTGGGAGGGAAGTACAGGGGGTACTTACACCACCTCCATGTGGAATATTGAGTGATTGCACCGCCGAGCAAGGGGCCGATGACGATGCCAAGTTGGCTGACTGTGTTGGGTTTGGAGTTAGTACCAGGCACTTCGAAGGACCTTTTCATATAACAACACTTGGGTTGACTTACTTCCCATCAAAATACCAATCAAAGCTGAGGAAAGCAAAAATTAGTGACTGCCGGACTCACTGGCGAATTCACATACCAGGGCGTTTCTCCAGTGGAACTGAGTTTGTGATGATGGTCAACCCCCCGTTCTGAAGACCCGAAGTCCCTATGCCAGCGATTGCTCGTCCGCCAATGAGCATGCTGGACGAGGTTGCGACACCACAGATAAGAGAGCCCAGGGTGAAGACGGCCAGAAACGCCAGGAACGACCACTTCTGGAGGTCAGCAAAGCTCCGATATAGCAGTACCAGTGACGACAAACCTTTACTTTGAAGTAAGTGTAGATCTTTCCTGTCAGTGGCTGTAGAGCGGCGCTTTGCAACTGTTAGTCTTTCCGTACGAAAGGTTTCGAATCCGGGTTCCCATACCTCGACAGATTGTACGCGGCTCCATACCACCCAACATCCCCAAGCGACTGGAACTCGGTCGTGATTCTCGGGACAGCCTGGCGAGAAAGTCAATAGCCGAGAGGCGACTAATTGTCAACCAACCACGCGACTCACTGTACCGATAATGGACATGTCCAAAAGCATCAGAAATACAACCAACGTAACGGCCCCAGTGACGGTATAGAGCCGAATTCCGCTAATGTACTTGTACTCTTCGAGCGGCGCATCGCCCGAGGCAGCATCTGCCTTGTCCGACAGTTCGGTGGTGTTGACAGTGTTGGCATCGGATACTTGGCCGGCGTCAACATCCGGATTGGGTTTCTCATCCGCCATGGCGGGCTTGGTGGGGAGGGCACTCATTGCAGTTGTGTCTCTGGGTTCATGTTTCAGCGGAGCAAGTCGGTGGGCGTCGCGTTGACAGATAAGGGATGTCGTGCGAGTCGCAAGCCGGGTTCAATACCAAGTCACAAGAATAAAGACTGTGAGCTGAGGGAAAGTAAGAAGCAGAATATAGAACACAGTATTTTGACAACAAACGCGTTCCGCGATGAATTAATATCTCGATTGAGGTGTTCTAGGCTGCACGGCCAAACAATCTCCTGGCGGGATTCGGGATTCCGAAGTGGTTGAATATCGGCGCCCACGATTGTTGGCGGCCTTGTGAGTCAGTCGGGCAATAGTTAACCGGATCTTACATTTTCCTTCCAGGTGCATACTAACCGGTTATGCATGTGTGCTACCACACTCTGCTACATTGAGCATGGAACACGGCACAGCTCGCGACTTTGTGCATTTTTCGTGGGTGTTGAACAGCATTGAGGGGTTGACTTGTCACAGCCCTGTCAAAGCGGAATCCGAAAGCGAGGCTTTGCAACCCCCAGCCAAGCCGGAGATTTCCGTGCCGGACTCCCGCACACTTTTGCTGCCGCCATCCCAGAAAGGGAACGATAGGTAAGCAGACGGGTTTCAACGGGTTCCGGGATCCCGACAGTCCGCCATGCTACTTCCTACATTCCTTTTGATGGTCAAGAACCCGGGCATCGGGTTTCCGCTGCCACCAATTCAGTCCCAGTGCAATGGTCGACAATATCAACATGCCGCAACCCGTCTCGGAATTTGCAACCCCAGCACCATACGGCCGGGCCTGCGTCAACTGCTCGCGCGCCAAGTGCAAATGCATGCGGCGGCCTGCGGGGGGCGCGTGCGAGCGGTGTCTTCGTTTGCAAAAGGAGTGCAGGCCAGCAGCTGGCGCGCGGGAGCGGCCCGCTAAGAAGGTGGCCTCGCGGACCGCCAAGTTGGAGGAGAAGCTAGATGACCTCGTCACCCTTTTGAGGTCCTCTGCCCAGTCCTCCGCCGCCCCAGGAACCGCGCCCCCGGATACGGTACCCGGTCACACTAACCCTGTGTTGCTGCCGCCACCCGAGACTGATACGGATTTCTTGGTAAGTTGTTCTATCTTTGTCTGTGTTACTATTTACATATGTGCCACTTCTGTTGTATCTACTTCAACTCTAACAACTCACATACAAGGCCCCCGAGCCCGTCCCTACACCAGCAGCTTCACTTCATGGCAACGGCGGCTACCCCTCGCCGTCATCCAGCGCTCCACCGCCAGCTCCAGGCGAGCTGTCCCCTATCGAGGCCGAAAAAACTCTGGACCGGTTTCGCTCCGAAAAACTCAAGTACTTTCCCTTCGTCTACCTTCCCGAGACCCTTACAGCGGCCCAGCTGTCGGCCGAGCGCCCCTTTCTCTGGCTATGCATCCGAGGCGCAACTACCAAGTCGGCCCTAGGCCAACAAGTCATCGGCGAGAAAATCAGACGCATCGTGGCAGACAAGCTAATTATCCAACACGAAAAGAGCTTGGAGATCTTGCTGGGTTTGCTGGCCTACATGGGATGGGCCAACATGCACATGGGGCCGCAGCCGTTCCTTTGCATGTACATCCACTTGCTTCTCGCTCTTGTTCAGGACCTGGGGCTCGATAAACCGCCCCCGAGGGCAGACGAGCAGCATCCCATGGCGTGCGTCAAGGCGCACGGCTTTATCCTCAAGATGGTCGTGTCTACGGTTCGGAGTATGGAAGAGCGTCGGGCGGTCCTTGCGACCTTTCTGATCGCGTCAGAGTAGGTGGATACAAACAGCTTGCAGGTAGATGTTGCCAACCCTCGCTGACATCCTGCTATCAGGGTCTCGGCCTTCATCCGAAAAAACGACCCGCAACGCTGGACTCCGCATATGGAGGAATGTCTCCAAGTCCTAGAAGAAAAAGACGAGTCGCCACTTGACCGTATTCTAGTCTGCATGGTCAAACTACGCCTCATCGGTGACGAGACAACAAAGTCCCAGGCGGTTGGTTCCTCGGAACCATCTGAACTCAGGCTCCTCCAAGCCTTCCAAGTCAGAGCCCTCAGCTCCCAAATCCAAACCATCAAGCAATCACTACCCCCAAGTCTCCAAGCCGACCGTAAGCCTCCCACCTCCCTTCCAAAATAATCTCATCTAACAAACCCCTCCCCCCCCCCCCCACAGCTATGGTCCAACTCCTCCTGCTCATCACCGAAATGGACATATCCGAAATCGGCCTCTTCCAAACCCCGCTCAAGTCCGCGCTCCCCGACACCTCCCGACTCACCTCCCTCGCGTCGTGTTTGCGCATCGCCCGCACCTGGTTCGACATCTTCCTCGCCATCCCGCTGTCCTCCTACCCCTCCTTCGGCTTCTGCATCATGTCGCATCTCTCGCGCATCATGCTCTCGCTGTATCGCCTCTCATCGCACGACGAGCTGGACTGGGACAAGCAAGCTATCCGGGACAAGATTGACGTCATCGACATCCTAGAGGCGCTAGTGGTAAGATTTGAGGGGGTGCCAGCGGAGAGCGGGATCATAAGTGATCGGCCCGACGGGGGAGATATGTTTTCGCTGACGGCCAGGGCGACGAGGACGATGAGAGCGGCGTGGATTCCCGTGCT